TCTCCCCCGCCCTTCGGGGTTGAAAGAAGCCTGTAATAAGCGACGGATTTTTTTTTTTTTTTTTTTTTTTCCTGCGCTTGCGCCGCTTGGCTGCTTGCAGGCGCCGAGGAAAATGCTCAGATACATATTAAGCAAACTGAAAAAGTAACAACAAAGAGAAAATATTAAGCGGGTCAAGGGAAAAGTAGCAAATAACAGAAGAGGGCATCCCCAGAAGATTATCAGCTGATTTCTCAGCAGAGACTCTGCAGGCCAGAAGGGAGTGGCATGATCTATTTAAAGTGGAGAAAGGGAAAAACCTACCGCCAAAAATACTCGACCAAGCAAGGCGCTTCTTTCAGGTTCAACAGAGGAATCAAAAGACAAGCAAGGGCTCAGAGAATTCAACAGGACCCCACCAGCTTTACAATAAAGACTAATGTAACAGCTCTAGGCAGAAAGAAAAAGAAAGACCAATGGAACACAATAGGAAGCCCAGAGGTAGATCCATGCACCTATGGGGCACCTCATCTATACCCAAGGAGGTAAGAATATACAATGCAGAAAAGACACCATCTTCAATAAGTGGTACTGTGAAAATTAGAGAGTAACATGTAAGAGAATGAAATTAGAACACTTACTAACACCACAGGGGGGAAAAAAAAAAACCTCAAAATGAATTAAAGACCAAATGTAAGACCAGATACTATAAAACTCTTAGAGGAAAACATCGCCAGAACACACTAACAAAGATTTTAGCAATGTCCTCTTTTGATTAATGGAAATAAAATAAAAAATAAAGAAATGGGGCCTCATTATACTTACAGTATTTTATGCAGCAAGTTCAGTTCAGTTCAGTTGCTTAGTCGAGTCTGACTTTTACACAGCAAAGGAAACTGTAAACAAGGTGAAAAGAGAACCCTCAGAATGGCAGAAAACAAATTCAAATGAAGCAACTGAAAAAGAATTAATCTTAAAGATATACAAGCATTTCATGCAGCTCAATATCAGAAATATAAACAACCCAATCAAGAAATGGGCAGAAGACCTAAAACAGACATTTTTCCAAAGAAGACATACAGATGGCCAACAAATACATGAAAAGATGTGCAACATTGCTGTTTATTAGTGAAATGCAATTCAAAAGTACAACGAGTACAGTCTTGTCAGAATGGCCACCATCAACAAATCTACAAAACATAAATGCCGAAGAGGATGTGGAGAAAGGGAATCCTCTTGCACTGTTGGTGGGAATGTAAATTGGTACATACACTATGGAGCACATTGTTTGTCCTCCCTGTGTTTGTATTTTTTTCTGCAGTTTTTTCTTATAGTTTATTTCTAAGCCCACAGCATTGTGATCAGAAAAGACTCTTGACATGATTTCCGTTTTCTTAAATTTATGTGGCTTGATATGTGACTCAAGATAAGATCTATAAAGAATGTTCTATGTGCACATGAGAAGAAAGTGTATTCTGCTGCTTTTGGATGGAATGGCCTAGAAATAGCAACTAAGTACATCTGGTGTAATGTGTCATTTTGGGGCTGTGCTTCCTTCTTGATTTTCTGTCTGGATGAGCTCTTTGTGGATGCGAGTGGAGTGCTAAAGTCCCCCACTATTATTGTGTTGCTGATGTTTTCTCCTTTTATGGCTGTTTACATATTGAGGTGCTCCTATGTTGGGTGCATATTTACTTACAATTGTTGTGTCTTCTTCTTGGAATGATCCATTGATCATTATGTGGTGTCCTTGAATCTTGCAACAGTCTTTAAAGTCTATTTTGTCTGATGTGAGTATCGCTACTCCAGGTTTCTTTGGATTTCCATTTGCATTGAGTATCTTTTTCCATCCCTTCACTTTCAGTCTGTATGTGTACCTGGATTTGAAAGTGGGTCTCTTGTAGACAGTATTATGTGTGCTGGGCTGTGCTTTGTCACTCAGTCGTGTCTGCCTCTTTGCGACCCCATTGACTGCGCCCCACCAGGCTCCTCTGTCTATGGGGGTTCTCCAGGTAAGAATACTGAAGTGGCTTGCCACGCCCTCTTCCAGGTCATCTTCCCAACCCAGGGATCGAATCCAGGTCTCCTGCATTGCAGGCAGATTCTTCACAGACTGAGCCGCCAGGGAAGCCCAAGAATACCGTAATGGGTAGCCTATCCCGTCTCCAGGGGCTCTTCCCAATGCAGAAATCAAACTGGGGTCTCATGCATTGTAGGCAGATCCTTTACCAGCTGAGCTACCAGGGAAGCCCAGGCAGTATTATACATGGGTCTTCATTTTTTAAAAAATTGTTATCTTTTTTTTTTTCGGATGCAGCATTTCATCCATTTACATTTAAGTTAATTACTGACATGTGTGTCCTTATTGCCATTTTAAAAATTGTTTTGGGTTTGTTTCAAAGGTGTTTGTTCTAAACTTCCTTTTGTGACTTGATGACTATCTTTAGTGTTGTGAATGGATCCCTTTTTTCTTTTTTGTGTCTACATCTATTGTAGATGTTTGGTTATCATGATTTTTTTTGTTCTAGCTGTCTATACACACACCACATAGGTGCGTGTGTGTGTGTGTGTGTGTGTGTCTCCAAGGTGGTTCAGTGCTAAAGAATCCCTCTGCCAATGCAGGAGATGCAGAAGATTTTGGTTTGATTCCTGGGTTGGGAAGATTCCCTGGAGGAGGAAGTGGAAACCACTCCAGTATTATTGTTTGGAAAAGTTCCATGGACAGAGGATCCTGGAGAGTCCATGGAGTTGCAAAGAGTCAGACATGCCTGAGTAAAAGAGTATATATATACATGTATATATACTTGTTTAACTTGACTGGTCTCTTAATTTCAAATGCATTTTCAATATCCTGCATTTGTACTCCCATCCTCTCATAACTGCTGGTTTTGATATCATATTTGTGTGTGGATGAGTTCCCATGTTTACTGTGTGTTTGTCTTTACTGGTGAGCTTTCCCATTCATAATTCTCTTGACTTTAGTCATGGCATTTTGTTTCTGCCTACAGCTATTACATTAGTCTTTGCTGTAAAGCTGGTGTGGTCCTGTTGAATTCTCTGAGCCTTTGCTTGTCTTTTGATTGCTCTGTTGAACCTGAAAGAAGCGCCTTGCTTCGTAGAGTATTTTTGGCTGTAGGTTTTTCCTTTTCTCCACTTTAAACATATCATGCCACTCCCTTCTGGCCTGCAGAGTCTCTGCTGAGAAATCAGCTGATAATCTTCTGGGGATGCCGTCTTCTGTTATTTGCTACTTTTCCCTTGACCCGCTTAATATTTTCTCTTTGTTGTTACTTTTTCAGTTTGCTTAATATGTATCTGAGCATTTTCCTCAGCACCTCTAAGCAGCCAAGCGGCGCAAGAGCAGGAAAAAAAAAAAAAAAATCCGTCGCTTATTACAGGCTTTTTTCAACCCCGAAGGGCGGGGGAGAAACGGGCAAGCGGCTCCGCGGAGCAACACTGCCCCCTGCAGACCACAGAAACCAAAATGCCAGCAAGCCCGGAAGAAAATCGATCCTTCCTGCGCGGTTTTCGGGCAGAGGACTGGCCAACGTAGTTGGGAAACTTCTGGGGGATGCCCCTGAGGACCAGAGAAAGAAAGGGAACCTCTGGAAGGGGCCCGGGCAAACCACCCCTGGACCGCGCGAGTTCCGCTCGACCCGCCCAGAGAACCACAGCGAGGCGGGCAAGAAGTCAGGGCGTCCAGGAAGCTCTGGAGTTGCTGAGGGCTGGTTCTGGGCCTGCCCCGGGGAGCAGTGAGGTCAGTGCCAGTCTCCCAGCCTGCGTCCGCTGGCAGATTTCTCCCCGAAACTGTTTGGAACTCTCCACTGAGGGACCTGATCCGTGATGTCCCGGTCTTGTCCAACCTGGCCCCAACAAGATGGTTATTTTGTGTCACTACCGTGCCCTCTTCTCTGTCAGTCGACTCTGGATTGAAGTCCCTTCCTGACCCACCTTGCAGTGAGCTGAGCAACTTGTACTCCTTAACAGCTGATTACTTCCAGGTGCTTTGCATTCTAAATGTGTTATCATGTCATAATCTTGATAGAGTGGATGAGTCGTTTTCTATGCAGTTTCCCTTCCCGCCCCCTTTCATTTAGTATCTCATTATAATAAATATGTTATGGTTGTTTTTCAGGCCGTCGGTCGTGCCCGACTCTTTGTGACCCCATGGACTGCATGCAGCACGTCAGGAGGCTTCCCTGTCCTTCACCATCTGCCGGAGCTTGCTCAAACTCATGTCCATTGAGTCAGTGATGCCATCCAACCATCTTGTCCTCTGGCATCCCCTTCTCCTCCTGCCGTCAATCTTTCGCAGCATTGCAGGCTGTTTTACCCTCAATCCCAGTGAGCATTTTATTTCACTCTTCCACCGGAGAGGGGAATGTATCCTGCAAGCCAGTGTGCAAACTACAGTCTGACAGACTTGAGACCTGAACATAGGGACACTCTCTGAGGAACCCTGAGAACCTGGAGAGCTGACTCTCCCTCTGTGTGCCACAGGTCCCAAAGGCATAAAATGAGGGCAGTAACGGCATCTGCTTCTTGGGTGGTGTCCAGCATCAATTACCCAGCAGGATCTTAGGTTGGCACTTGTCCGTGTCATGTTATTACTGTAGGTGGCTCAGATGGTAAGGAGTCAGCCTGCAGTGCAGGATAGCCAGGTTCAATCGCTGGGTTGGGAAGATCCTCTGGAGAAGGAAATGGCAACCCACTCCATTATTCTTGCCTGGAGAATCCCATGGGCAGAGGAGCCTGGAAGGCTACAGTCCAAGGGGTCTTAAAGAATCAGACTGGTCTGAGCCACTTGCACTTCCGCTTCACGGAATGATTTTCAAGCCAAAACTCACTGTCATAATAAAGTTCTCTTTAAACACACAGGAGTTCCTCAAAGATCGGAAGCAAGAGAAGGGTGACCACCCGTCCTCTCTTATTTAATGTATCAGCTTATATTCTTTTATTGTAATTTTACGTGTCAATGGGTCCAGTGAAAGTTCTCACAACGGGCTCTCTGAAGGGCTCAGATGCAGTTGGAATCAGCCTACCGGCTGCTACAAGCAGAGGAAAAACAACAACAACGAAATACCAGCCTCTTGTTGCAGAAAGTTTCCTGTCCCTTTATTAAAGCGCGAAGGGCAGAGGAAAAACCGGCCCGGCGACACTGTGGAGCAACACTGCCACCTGCAGGCCACAGAAACCGAAACGCCGCAAGCCCGGAAGAAAAGTCGTCGCTCCTGCTGGGTTTTCGCGCAGAGGACTGGACGGCGGGGCTGCGAAAGTTAAGGGAGACGCCCGTAAGGACGAGAGAAAGGAAGGGAATCTCTCGAAGGGGTCCGGCCACACCACCCCTGGACTGCGAGCCGTCCGCGGAACCATAGCAACACGGGCAGGGAGTCCGGGAAGATCCGGAGCTTGGTGGGCGGGGCTGCACTCCGATTGGCTGGCTCTGGGCCTGCGCGCAGCTACCCAGTGAGGCCCGTGCCAGTCTCCCGGCCCTGGTCGGCTGGGCGTTTTCTCAGGGACCCTGTTTGGAACTCTCCACTGAAGAACCTGACCGGTGACGTCCGGGTCCTGTCGCCCACTGCCGAAGCCTCCCACGTGCGGGAACGTTGCAAGTCCCCTGTCCATTCTCCCCCCTCCCACCCCCGGCCTGTGAACGCGTTCCTCCCCGTGGTACACTGTTCTCTCAGCCCTCACTCTTCTGATCCGTCCTCAGTGCCCACGAGGCTCACCCGGTCACCCCGGAGACTCTCCGTCCTTAGCGATGCTCCCTTCCTCCCCACCCGAGCATCCCTCTGCCCACGGTCCCGCCCCGGACATCAGGAAAGACCGCGCCCCTCGTGGTGTCCTGTTTCTCGCATTCCTCCCTGTCATCACCCTCGACATCACGTCCTGTCCTCCAGCTCCTTCGCACGAGTGCCAGTGCACTGATACCACAACCTGCTGGAGACCTCCAGCTCACCGACCACGCGTCCTTTCACAACATGCGCCAGGCCCCTCCTCGATCGGCTGAGCCAGGGATGGAAGCTGTCCCCCGCAAAGACACCTCTTGTGCTCCTTGCACCCTCCTGCCTAGCCACTCCCTGCCTGTGTCTGAGCACCTGAGCATCGAGGAGAACGTATAGACACCAGGACCATCCTTACCTGGTTACCTCTCGATTCATCCTCCACACGCCCATCCACAGAACATCCCCTTGCTAACGTCTCCCAAGAGCTCCAATGGCCAAACCAATGGATTCAGTGCTGTATTGGCCACAGACACATTCCATTTTCAAAACCACTTTTCCTTGGTCAGAGTCTGGACAGCAGCCCACCCTGGCTTTCCCCTTACCATTACTTCTAAGTCTCCTTGTCTGTCCATTGACTTTGATCCCCTCCTAAATCTTGGGCTTTGTTTCCCTCTGGTTTCCAGCCTCTGCCCTGTGCTCTTCTACACCATACATGATCCTTGGGTGACCACGTCACCCCCCAGAGCTTTTACCCATCTGACTTGTTTTCATCCGTTATCCCCCTGTATGCTGATGGCTTTTCCTATCACTAAATCTACCTAGCCTAGGACATCTCAGCTGGGCCCCAGATTCCCCACCGGCCGAAACGTATGGGGCATCTGCACTCAGAATGGTGTCTATACATTCAAGAAGCATGGCTTGAGAGGAATCAAAGACGCAGCGTATTGGAAGTAGGGCTGTGTGCTCGCAGCGTGTGCTCTCCTCTCCTGGCTCCACCTGGTGATGCTGACCTGCACTGCCCATGGGTGGGGGTGGTGAAACTTGCATTTTTGTCTCCCTCCTCTTGCTGTGGGCCTGGTCCTCCCTGGCTGACTGAGCCTCAGCCACCCTGCTGGCATCTGCAGACCCCTCTGAATCTGGGTCTGATCGTCCACCCTGTCCCCAGGCACGGACGTCCACTCCTCAGCCTCAGCCTCAGCCGCAAGGTCCCCTAGCCCATTGCCTGCTTAGGCTTCGTCTGGATTCAGTCCCTTTCCACATTTCTCCCTCAGGTGATGCAGAGCCCTCCCTTGGATCTCACCTGCAGCAAAGCAGGCACCAAGATCAGCTCCAGAAAACGAAATTCCTAAACTACAGCCACCCTTCTGCCCAAAGACAACATTGGGTCATTGCGCACTGTGCCCCCTGTGAGTCCCAAGTGTGAATGGGGTGGAATCCTCCTTTCCCTGGTGCTCCTCTTCATTTCTTGTCACACCTCCCTTGTCTGAGCTCTCTCACCTCTGCCTGCCACTGCCTCTGTGGGCCGTTCCCCCGCTGTGACCGGGACGCTCTTTTCTTTGGCTTGTCTTTCATTTGACCCAAGACTTCCCATACACTATCCAGGTCAAGGGGGGCATAGGGTAGAATGTGTACCTTGTCGAGCACATCTAGGAGACGCTGTTGTCACATAAGCCCCACGCCCCTGAAATATTAAAAAACAGAGGGCTAAAGAACACAAGAGTCAAATATGCCAACGGTGCCTGAGATGTTGGCTAAGATGGGCACTGAAGAGTGTCTGCGGGATCAGGAAGTATGGATATTAATGATGGCCATGACGAGACCAGTTACAGTGAGTGACGGGGACAAAAGCTCCATGGAATGGGGCTGAGGAGAGACTATCTCACCAGAATTTGAAGCAGTTTTGCTTTGAAGGGCAACCGGTAATGTGCCAGTAGCTGCAGAATAGGGTGGTTGGTGGAAGACGGTGGGTGTCCCCCTTTGCTGTGGAACGCTCCGATGTAGAGGGAGCAGGTGCTGGTTCAGGAGAGCGGAATGATAACTGCAGGTGCAACGTCCCTGAGAAGGTGCAAGGCATGGGATCCCAGGCAGAGGTGAGGGGCTGGGTGCAGTCAGGAGCAGGCGTGGAGAGGGGCTGCAGAGTGCCAGGGCAGGAAGATGCAGATTGGGACTGGGAAACTTGAGAAATCCCACGGGGGGTCATTAGCATGGAGGAAGGTTCCTAGTGTGTAGTGTAGGAGTGTAGCTGGGTGGCCCTGAAACTGAACAGCGGTCTACTCCGGCCATGGATTTAAGATAAAACACTTCTGTAAAGTTTTCTCCTCGATGCTCAGGTGCTCAGACACAGGCAGGGAGTGGCTAGGCAGGAGGGTGCAAGGAGCACAAGAGGTGTCTTTGCGGGGGACAGCTTCCATCCCTGGCTCAGCCGATCGAGGAGGGGCCTGGCGCATGGTGTGAAAGGACGCGTGGTCGGTGAGCTGGAGGTCTCCAGCAGGTTGTGGTATCAGTGCACTGGCACTAGTGCGAAGGAGCTGGAGGACAGGACGTGATGTCGAGGGTGATGACAGGGAGGAATGCGAGAAACAGGACACCACGAGGGGCGCGGTCTTTCCTGATGTCCGGGGCGGGACCGTGGGCAGAGGGATGCTCGGGTGGGGAGGAAGGGAGCATCGCTAAGGACGGAGAGTCTCCGGGGTGACCGGGTGAGCCTCGTGGGCACTGAGGACGGATCAGAAGAGAGAGGGCTGAGAGAACAGTGAGTGTACCACGGGGAGGAACGCGTTCACAGGCCGGGGGTGGGAGGGGGGAGAATGGACAGGGGACTTGCAACGTTCCCGCACGTGGGAGGCTTCGGCAGTGGGCGACAGGACCCGGACGTCACCGGTCAGGTTCTTCAGTGGAGAGTTCCAAACAGGGTCCCTGAGAAAACGCCCAGCCGACCAGGGCCGGGAGACTGGCACGGGCCTCACTGGGTAGCTGCGCGCAGGCCCAGAGCCAGCCAATCGGAGTGCAGCCCCGCCCACCAAGCTCCGGATCTTCCCGGACTCCCTGCCCGTGTTGCTATGGTTCCGCGGACGGCTCGCAGTCCAGGGGTGGTGTGGCCGGACCCCTTCGAGAGATTCCCTTCCTTTCTCTCGTCCTTACGGGCGTCTCCCTTAACTTTCGCAGCCCCGCCGTCCAGTCCTCTGCGCGAAAACCCAGCAGGAGCGATGACTTTTCTTCCGGGCTTGCGGCGTTTCGGTTTCTGTGGCCTGCAGGTGGCAGTGTTGCTCCACAGTGTCGCCGGGCCGGTTTTTCCTCTGCCCTTCGCGCTTTAATAAAGGGACAGGAAACTTTCTGCAACAAGAGGCTGGTATTTCGTTGTTGTTGTTTTTCCTCTGCTTGTAGCAGCCGGTAGGCTGATTCCAACTGCATCTGAGCCCTTCAGAGAGCCCGTTGTGAGAACTTTCACTGGACCCATTGACACGTAAAATTACAATAAAAGAATATAAGCTGATACATTAAATAAGAGAGGACGGGTGGTCACCCTTCTCTTGCTTCCGATCTTTGAGGAACTCCTGTGTGTTTAAAGAGAACTTTATTATGACAGTGAGTTTTGGCTTGAAAATCATTCCGTGAAGCGGAAGTGCAAGTGGCTCAGACCAGTCTGATTCTTTAAGACCCCTTGGACTGTAGCCTTCCAGGCTCCTCTGCCCATGGGATTCTCCAGGCAAGAATAATGGAGTGGGTTGCCATTTCCTTCTCCAGAGGATCTTCCCAACCCAGCGATTGAACCTGGCTATCCTGCACTGCAGGCTGACTCCTTACCATCTGAGCCACCTACAGTAATAACATGACACGGACAAGTGCCAACCTAAGATCCTGCTGGGTAATTGATGCTGGACACCACCCAAGAAGCAGATGCCGTTACTGCCCTCATTTTATGCCTTTGGGACCTGTGGCACACAGAGGGAGAGTCAGCTCTCCAGGTTCTCAGGGTTCCTCAGAGAGTGTCCCTATGTTCAGGTCTCAAGTCTGTCAGACTGTAGTTTGCACACTGGCTTGCAGGATACATTCCCCTCTCCGGTGGAAGAGTGAAATAAAATGCTCACTGGGATTGAGGGTAAAACAGCCTGCAATGCTGCGAAAGATTGACGGCAGGAGGAGAAGGGGATGACAGAGGACAAGATGGTTGGATGGCATCACTGACTCAATGGACATGAGTTTGAGCAAGCTCCGGCAGATGGTGAAGGACAGGGAAGCCTCCTGACGTGCTGCATGCAGTCCATGGGGTCACAAAGAGTCGGGCACGACCGACGGCCTGAAAAACAACCATAACATATTTATTATAATGAGATACTAAATGAAAGGGGGCGGGAAGGGAAACTGCATAGAAAACGACTCATCCACTCTATCAAGATTATGACATGATAACACATTTAGAATGCAAAGCACCTGGAAGTAATCAGCTGTTAAGGAGTACAAGTTGCTCAGCTCACTGCAAGGTGGGTCAGGAAGGGACTTCAATCCAGAGTCGACTGACAGAGAAGAGGGCAGGGTAGTGACACAAAATAACCATCTTGTTGGGGCCAGGTTGGACAAGACCGGGACATCACGGATCAGGTCCCTCAGTGGAGAGTTCCAAACAGTTTCGGGGAGAAATCTGCCAGCGG